CGAGTCGAACCAACATACAGCTGAAATTTGGGCATCCTGAAAAAAAATATTTTTTTGAAGAAAATGGCTTAGCCACAAGTGTATTTATTAAGAATATCTGTAAAGGCATAACTTACATAAAGATGTCTTAGATAACTGCTTAATTATTTTGGACACATTAGTTTCATTATCTGGATTTAGTAACCCTCTGGTGCCCTCAAGTGGAATACTATAGAAACAGATAGTATTTTGACACACTAGGCTGAAATTCTATTTAAATAAAATATATTTATATCCCTCTCATTATTTTACAAAGGTCACTAGGCACCTGGGGCTGATATGTATTCGCACCCACCCGCCCCCAACTTTAAAATTCTGTGTGTCCTTCTGCACTCACTCTTTCTTTGTGCATATCTCCGTAAGCAGCCAGTAGCTGCTCATTGTATCTACAAACTAGCGACTGGGCCCCTGACATTGGAACGTGTCTATAAAATAGTGGCCCCCACGCTTTAGGTTACTTATTTAAACAAATGGGAGGGGGGGGGGCATAGTGTCTCTCCCAGCCCCCACAATTTGACGGTAGTTGGGAGCTATTATTATACTGGGAGTGAATTAATTTCCTCCCCAGTCCCCATCCATTGACTACAGGTTGGGGCTATTAGTATAATACCAGGGAAGACCCCCAGCCCCACCCACCATATCTTTTTTATTAGAACGAGGTGGTGGACATCTCATCTCACGAGAGTTGCCATGGAATAAATTACCATGCAAGTCAAGAGAGCAGCAATACATACAATACATACAATAAAAACCATTGGAGTGATACTAAAAAAAAGTCCACTTATTTAACTGTGCTTGGTGATTTGGGAGAGGCCGCAAGTAAAATTTTCTTTATCGTAAATATGAAAACTGCACCGATTTTTAAACCTGACAGATCGGTTCTGAACATATGACACAGATTGGTTTGATCGACCAAATGTTACCAAGAGTTGGCGTTAGTAAATCTGAAATCGCCATTGCAGTTGGAATTCAGTAATTTTCCCCCACATTTTGTTCATTTGATTTTTTAATTAATTACACTGTTAGAGAATATTTCCAGTTTGGCTATTTTGACATTAAATTTAAAATTCAGTTTGTATTGACATTAAATTCCCACTTTAGTGAATAACAAAAAGAATCATAACTAAAGTTGGTTACCAACAATACACTGGTTACCTCCAGTGGCCATCTAAGGAGTGATCACTTGGAGGTGTCCCTAGGGGCAATGTAAACAATGCCTGAAGGGAGCTATTATACTCTCCAGAACAATTACATTAAGCTGTAGTTGTTCTGGTGACTATAGTGTCCCTTTAATAGTTTTTTTAGATGAGGTTACTTTACCAAAAATCTATTTGGAGCAAAAAAGGTCCCTAAAAAATGCCTTTACAGAACATGAAGAGCGCAAGGCAATCTTAACCCTCCTAAAACAAAAAGCACCAGGTCCAGATAGGTTTTGAAATTATTATTATATTAAAATGGAACCCATGTTAACACCTCACCTTACTGTACTTTTTACAAAAACTCAGGTTATATACCAAAAGAAATGCTGGAAGCATATGTAGTAACGCTGCCAAAACCAGGAAAACTACCCAATGAGGGTGCTAATTTAAGCCCTATAGTGATTTTAAACGCTATATAAAAATATATGCCAAGTTACTAGCTATGCGCATTAACCCCTGTTAGACGACCTAGTTTCAACAGAACAAGCTGTGTTTGTGCCAAATAGGCAAGTAGGTGACAACACAAGATATTTTATTGATCTCATTGAATGGGCACATAAGAGTAAACAGCATGGCACAATTATAGCATTAGATGCTGAAAAAGAGTTTGATCACCTAAACTGGACGTATATGACGATGACCTTGAGTAAGATGGGCTTTCCTACAGAGTTTATGAAAAATATTCTAGCACTTTATTCAAACCCCTCTGCACAGGTATTTCATATGGGTTTTTTATCTAACTAATTTAATATATAAAATGGTACCCGTCAACTGGGCCGGTGCAAGGATTTTTGCCGCCCTAGGCAAAAAATAATTTGACGCCCCGCCATGTAGTGACATCACAATGTCCTACCCATATAATCTGCCCATATAATGACATCACATATGCCCAATCCCTGAGGGACTGTTTTGCCCAGACTCCCATTTTATTAGGGTGCAATATGTTGTTTTTTTTATTATGTAATGTAATGTGAATATTTTAAAAATGTTGATCGGATGTGCGGTGTGGATTGTGTAGGGTGGCAGGTAGTGTTGTAGCTATAAAGGATAAGTGATGGTAGGATTAACATCAACAAAAAGTATAAAATGGGAGGGATTGGATGTGGGGTTCATTCTGTGGTGCAAGGTATTTTTGGTTTGTTTTTTTCTCATTATTGTTAGAATATGAATATTAAGCTTATACTAGAGCTGTTATTGCTTTTTGTATGTTATGTCCTTTATTATTTATTTATTTTTCTTCTTATTATTATTATTATTACTATTCTTTTTTGTATGGAGATATGTATCTACAGTATATATGGTATTTACAGTTATGGTTATTTACAGTTATTTACCACTGTTGTAAAGAAATCATCAATAAAAATGAAATATGGAGGGAAAAAAAATTGTAGCCAGTCTCTGCACTCTTTCCAGTGCCATAATATCCTTCTTTAGAACAGGTGCCCAAAATTGCACAGCATATTCAAGATGTGGTCTTACCAGTGATTTATAAAGAGGCAAAATGATATTCTCATCCCAAGACTTAATGCCCTTTTTAATGCATGACAATACCTTACTGGCCTTAGCCACTGCTGTTTGACATTGCACATTGTTGCCTAGTTTGTTGTCAATAACAATATCAAAATCCTTCTTGTGTGTTGTTATCAGGGGCGGACTGAGAACCCTCAGGGCCCCCGGGCAAAATAAATCAAGGGCCCCCTTACAGGCCCCACCCATACTCTGCAGCAAGCGCCACCCTTGTCCCGCCTCCATGCACCGCCTCCATGCACCGCCTCCAGCCACACCCTACACAATCTTTAGACACAAGGAACAAAAGGGCAATAAGCCATTCGAGGCCCCAGCAGAGACTACAATTGAGGGCTAATGGGCCATGGAGGGGGGTCTTTCTAGCGGGGGCTATCTCAGTGTCCTTTAGAGAGTGTGTTAGAAAGAATCCCCTCCAGGCCCCATTAGAGACTACAATGGAGTCTAATGGGGCCTGGAGGGTGGTCTCTCCAACACTCTGGTTTCTATTCACAATATAGCAACACAACATAGCTCTCTGATACCTAGGCCAAGTTGGCTCCTCTTACCTTAATTACTGTTGCTGGCTGGCAGTCTGTGGGCTTGCTTGCTGCGGCTGGCAGGCTGTGGGCTTGCTGGCTACTGCCGGCAGGCTGTGGGCTTGCTGACTGCGGCTGGCAGGCTGTGGCTTGCTGGCTGCGGCTGGCAGGCTGTGGCTTGCTGGCTGCGACTGGCAGGCTGTGGGCTTGCTGGCTGTAAGCCTGTGGCTTGCTGTAGGCCTGTGGGCTGGCTACTGGCCTGTGGGCTGGCTAACTGGCTGGCTACTGGCCAGCCTGTGGGCTGGCTAACTGGCTGGCTACTGGCCAGCCTGTGGGTTGGCTGGCCGGCCTGTGGGCTGGCTGGCTACTGGG